TTTATTTCCTTGTAACTATTATATAAAAACATAGGTTATATATATAGAGAGCGAAGAGGGATTGAAATTCTACAATAATAAGTGATGATACGATCTACGTAATTCGTTATTTCCTGAAGAGCGGTCTCGATATTATTACAAGGTCTCACATATATAAAAGAAAAAAAAGGAGGATGTGTTTACTCTCTTTCTGATATGCCAATTTCTCGTTAGCCATTAAATTACCGGTAATGGCGGAAAATTTATGTATTTATTTAATCGATCAACTGGTATTCCATATAAATATTTTCATTGCTTTATATTTTCTACCTTTACACAATATCTAGTTACAACTTTTAATTAAAGTCATTTTAGTTTCACTATTGTCTGTTTAATAATGTGAAATCAATTACTCAAAATTACATAATTTGAAGAAAAAAAATATGAAAAGATACTTTGATTTTATTATATAGCAGATTTCTGCTTTCAAATTGAAATTTCAAATATAATTATAATTACTACCGTAATGAACAAATTATCAATCTATTTTTTATTAGTTTGGAAATGACAGCTGTCATCTTGTGTCAAATCGAGGAATTGGTGAAATACTCTGGACAATTGGGTCGCAATATAACTACTAACAAATATGTTGGGTCACATGAGAAAAAGGTTAAGATTTGGAATGTACCCATTATTGTCTATGGCAGCGCTTCAAAACCTATTGGGTCTAGATATAAAAAATTAATTGGTTCGGAAATGACAGCTGTCATCTTATGTCAAATCAAGGAATTGGTGAAATACTCTTGACAATTGGGTCTCAGTAAAACTACAACAAATATGTTGGGTCACTAAAGAAAAAGGTTGAGATTTGGAATGTACTCATTATTGTCTATGGCAGCGCTACACAACCTATTGGGTCTAGATAAAAAAAATATATTGGTTCATAAATGACAGCTATCACGTAATGTCAAATCGATAAATTGATGAAATACTCTTAACAATTGGATGGTAGTATAAATACAAAGAAATATGATGTGTCACAAGGGAAAAGGTTGGAAATTGGAATATACCATTATTGTCTATAGCAGCGTTTCACAATCAATTGGGTCTAGATAAAAATATGTATTGATTCTGAAATGACAGCTGACACCTTATATCAAATCCAGGAATTGGTGAAATACTCTTGACAATTGGGTCGCAGTATAACTACAAACAAATATGTTGGGTCACAAGTAAAAAGGTTGCGAATTGGAATATACCATTATTGTCTATAGCAGCATTTCACAATGTATTGGGTCTAGATAAAAATATTTATTGGATCGGAAATGACAGTTGTCACCTTATGTCATATCGAGGAATTGGTGAAATACTCCTAACAATTGGATGGTAATAATAACTACAAAGAAATATGTTGGGTCACAAGAAAAAAGGTTGGAAATTGGAATATACCATTATTGTCTATAGCAGCGTTTCACAACGTATTGGGTCTAGATAAAAATATTTATTGAATCGAAAATGACAGTTATCACATTATGTCAAATCGAGGAATTGATGAAATACTCTTAACAATTGGGTCGCAGTATAACTACAAACAAATATGTTGGGTCACAAGGAAAAAGGTTGAGAATTGGACTATTATTTTCTATAGCAGCATCTATTGGGTCTAGATAAAAATATGTATTGGTTCGGAAATGACAGCTGTCATCTTATGTCAAATCGAAGAATTGTTGAAATACTCTTAACAATTGGATCGTGGTATAACTACAAGGAAATATGTTGTGTCACAAGGGAAAAGGTTTGAAATTGGAAACCATAGTTGTCTATAGCAGCGTTTCACAATCTAATGGGTCTAGAAAAAAATATGTATTGGATCGGAAATGACAACTGTCACCTTATATCAAATCGAGAAATTGGTGAAATACTCTTAACAAATGGATCGTAGTATAAATACAAAGAAATATGTTGGGTCACAAGGAAAAAGGTTAGAAATTAGAATATACCATTTTTGTCTATAGTAGCGTTTCACAATCTATTGGGTCTAAATAAAAAAAATGTATTGGTTCGGAAATGACATCTGTCACCTTATGTCAAATTGAAGAATTGGTGAAATACTATTGAAATCCATCCCAGTGTTGCAAGTGAAAAATATTTAGAAACTCTTATATTGATGAAATAACAGGAATTAATAAAAATACATTGAATTTATAAATAAATAAATATCAAATAGTAAAATGTAAAAATAAAATGTATGAATTGTAAGAAAGATATAGATAGGAAATATGTATTGTTTACTATAATAATACAGTTATTTTCAATAATTATTATCTGTTTCTCATATAAGCGAAGTGATTTATAAATTGTATCAAAACTGTTATGCAGTATGAAAATATTCCATAATTTACAGTTGGTTTGTTGGAATGATTGCATTTGATGCCGTGGAAAGAAAATATCTTTGAAGCTTCAACAATAAATTCTTTATACGTTCGCATCGTGAGTTAGGTCAAGTTCATGACCATTGAATGAGGAGGGGAACCGAGAGAAAATGATCGTCGGATTTTTTTTGTTTGTTTGCTATGAAACGTAATAAAATTAAATAATTTTAAATATATTTCACATAAATTTACTTAAATCACGATTATTTGTTCAAAGAAAACTTCAACGAAGAAACAACGCACGGATTTCGTTGTTTTCCTCTTGTAAAATGGAAATAGTTGTAACGTTCCATATTGTATATTATTCATTATAAAAGAAAATAAATGCATTTTAATAGTAAGAAACTGTAAGAAAAAAATTAAACAAATAAAAAAAATCTTATTAATTGTCAGAAGTTAATTAAGTTTACCTAAATTCAAATAATAATTGTATTTATAGAAAAAAAATTCGACATAAAACTGTCAATATGAATAATTTGTCAATTATCAAATTATCCTTCATTGAAATATTTGTTTTCTTCATGATTATTCTTGAGTATTTCAAGACTAATTATCACTCAAGTATTTCAATTGCATATCTAATTGACGTCAATTGCCTTACAGTTTTCTTCCCACATAATCGATAATTATCCGGTTGAACGAACTTCATTCATTTCTTCCACCTTCGTTTAATTTGTCTGTCCAATATAATTAGTATTTCGCATGAGAATTTATAGTTTATTTAAATTTTCCAAGTTTATATAAAAACTCTTTCAAAATTTCTTAGTTCAGTTCTTTTAAATCTTCAAAAATCTTTTGTAAAAATTTCTCCAATATTATTAGTATTTTACATAGAAAATTACAGTAAAAAAACATTTCCATTTATGGAAAAAAAAAAACCTTTGTAAAAATTTAGTAAAATTTTTAAGTTTGTTTGAAATTTTTTTTATATCTTCTAAGTATTATTTACAATTCAGTAAATAGTAAATTTGATCAAATTTCCAGAAGATAAATCAAGAAGTTTCAATAACAAAATACATTCCAGTGTCATCTCTTGATTTCTTTCAAAAACTATTGATAGGTAGTTTTAACATTAAAGATTTTAAAATTTGTTTTTTGCGAAAGATTTGTATTATTTTCTTTGTATTTATAATTATAAATATAGTATTATATGTACTATATAGAATAGAGTTGGTGTTTCTATAGTGAAGGAATCTGATGGAAATCTGGATTGAGGCGAGAAAAGGCTATGGTTAGTTGAGAGGAAAAGTGGAAAGTCCTATTTAACTATTTCAATTATTTTCTCATGTCTCTATAAGCATAAGTAGTATCTGTGGTAATCCTTAAGCACACTCGCATGCCGAAGACTCCAGTAGGCACCTTATCACCCGACAACCGATAAATCTAATTAAATGGCCAGACCTGACCAGAAGACATTGCATGCAAAACTGCGCTCAGAGGAGGAGAGACAAAGACGAGAAAATCATAAACTAGCCGGCCCTTTTTTTTCACTCTCTCTCTCCGTGTCCCATACCCCCTTCGGAATTGATAAAATACCGTGAAATTATCTTCGCAGATAGCTTTAATTAAATATTTGTACTACATGAACATGCGCTGCCGTTCCAACAGCCTCCTCCTCCTCTCCACCTCTTCCTTCTCCTCATTGCATCCACCTCGTACTAAGGCCGAAGCCGTCTCTTCATCCTCCACCCAGCATGAGAACATTTCTTTGTTGTCCGGCCTTTTAATTGAAGTCAACATCTATATATGTACGTGTCCTCTCTATATATATTATATATAAATGTATTTGTGCGTTATTCGCATACTTGTTAAAAAAAACACCTTTATATCTTCATACAGAAGGTGAGCCACTGATAATTTAACAATTAAACCGATCGGTGCCAATTAATTAACTATTTTTGTTATATTATTTTCTTTCTTTATTTTTTGAATCACGCACGTTATATTATTTTCTATACAAAGTAAGTGCATTCCCGTAGCCTTCAACACTTCACACACAGCGGAAACATGCGAAGAAAAGAGCTCATCTCTGCACACGTTAATGCACGGAGCGAGAGAAAGAGAGAGGAATAAAATAAAGTGCTCACGATATAATAATTACTGACATATATAAATTGATGAGCGCTCGTTGGAGACCCGTTGATAAATAAGCCGACCGAAAAAATAGTAACAAACAAATAATCAATTCTGAACCATTCATCAATGTTCTTAACGTTTGTATTTCAACTCGATTTATTAATGATTTTCAATTGGACCGCACTAGTTTCTTACGTGGAATTGAAAATCGTTGAGACGGCGGTGAAGCTGCGAGATTATACTTGATACTTGACAAATAACTTGTATAGATGCAAGTAAACTTGAAAACCTTACTTAAGCTATGGTTGTCAAAGAAACAATGCAATTCACTCAATATTTTACTCAACAAGCAATGGATGCCATGGATACAATACACATCACTTAAGTACTTGTCAGTTGACGCAAAATTGACAAATTATTTGACTAATATTATGATTTTTCAAAACTTGATAAAATCTAAATTTGTGATATTGGAAAATATACCAAAATAATTAAAATTGTTTATTGTTTCAGATTCAGGTTTTGGCATTTTGGTGAGTGGCGTGACGTAATCGTTGATGACAGATTGCCGACGTTCAAAGGACGTTTGATCTATCTCCATTGCTCAAACACAACAGAATTTTGGGCTGCCCTTTTGGAGAAAGCGTATGCAAAGTATGCACAAATCATGCAATCATTCAAGTTGAGCTTCTTTCAAATTATTTCGTTTTTTGCTTAGGTTTTACGGCTGCTACGAGAACCTGACTCAAGGATCTACAACCAGAGCTCTTCAGGATTTGACCGGAGGTATAGTCCAGAGTTTCGGGTTGACGCATCAAGACAGATTCTTGACTTTTCAAGTGCTGAACAGCGCCGTGCCCAGATCTAGTCTGTTGATCGCTACAATCGCTGCTGTATGTTAGATGTTAAATGATGAATTTCAGTTTTGTAATATAATTGTTTGGTTTTAGGAGAAGGATAATAAGAGGCAACTTAGGTTGAGGAATGGTCTGATAACTCAACACGCTTACAGCGTAACTGGTTTGGCTAGGGTGCGTGGTGCTAACGGAGAGACTCCTCTGGTTAGGCTGAGGAATCCTTGGGCTAGAGGAGAATGGACCGGTCCGTGGAGCGAAAGATCCTGGGAATGGGATGGTCTTTCAACAAGGGACAAGGAATTGTTGAGTGTCCGGGTTACAAACGATGGGGAATTCTGGTACATTATTTGCTTATTTTTGATAAAATCAAATTGATAATTGTTTATTTTAGGATGTCTTTCGAAGATTTTGCCAGACATTTCACTCAATTAGATTTAGTGCACGTGGGACCTGACGATTGGATGATGGAGGCGGCTCTTCACTCGAAGCAACCATGGAGGGCCGTTTTGGCCCGCAGAAGATGGCGCGGCGGTTACAATGCCGGTGGAGGACCCAGTTACATAGGTAACACGTTCACAAGTAAAATTCTTTGTCACCTTTGAGAACTAATTTGTATTGCAGAAACCACGTCCATGAATCCGCAATTCCACGTGCAAATTCCGAGGACTTCTAGCAACAAATGCCACGTCGTCGTCTCTGTGACCCAATTCTATGAAACCAACATCATTGATGCCAAGAAAAAGAAACCGTTGTTCGCAATTGGTTTTGCCGTCTACGAGGTTCCTCATTCCATGCAGAGGTTAACTCCACATTTCGTAGCTGAACAAGTAACATCTTCAATAGTTTTTTATTCAAATATACTTATTTGGAAACATTATAGAAACCACTTGATGTGACTAACCATTCAGTAGCAAGAGAGGTAGTTACCTTCTTCACGTTACCGCCAGGCGATTATATTGTAGTCCCTCAAACCAACATCCCGAATTTAGATGGGAAATTCTTGCTGCGCATCTTCACCGATGAACAAAGCAATATTTGGTACTTAAATTTACTTGATTAATAAACTAAATATTATAACCATCAACAATATTTTAGGGAAGTGAATGAAGATAACATGGTAATAAGGAATATATCGTCTGAGTTTCAAGAAGAAAATCCAGCATTGGTACAACCATTTAATTTACATTTTTACTAATAACTAATCAATAAAATTTTTGCAGGCGGATAACAAAACGATATTTCCAAAGCTGTTGGTGAAATACCCTCCTGAAGTAGATGCTAGTCAATTGCAAAAGATCCTGAAATCGCACTGGAAAACTTATTTATCAGAGAAGCCCAGCCTCGAGCTCTGCAGGAGTTTAATCATGCTCAGAGATTACAACATAAGCGGCAGGCTCAATTTGCTCGATATACCAGTGCTGATGCAGATGCTGCAATTCTGGAGGGTACGAAAACAAACACCAAATCAGCATTTTCTTTTTAATATTAATAACTTTGAATTTCAGTTGGCGCTTCAGAAATTTGAAAGAGGTCATCACAGCGGGAAAACTTCCAGCTACAACTTGAGGGCATTACTTTGGGAATCTGGTTGTACTGTGAGCAACAAAGTTCTGGAATGCCTCGTGCTGAGATTCGCCAAAAACCGTATACTAACAACCGAAAATTACGTAATGGCAATGGTCAGATTGCATTTGGCTCACGGTAATCCCTTATAATAACAGTATCAATAAATTTAACTTTTAATTTAACATTTTCAGAGAGATATCATAGCTTGGACACTAAAATGAAAAGCAATCCGATTTCTTTAGAAGAAGTAAGTGGTTTTCACATATTATATAAACTTAAACAATGATTTTTCTTTCAATTGATTTTGCAGATGATTCTAATGACAATCTATTCTTAGATGACTTTAATATTGAATTCCGAATTCCTTATAAACCAAAGAAATTGCTTCATCTACAGTTAAAGTGATTGATGTACGTTAGTAGAATTGTATATTATTATTTGTTCGTTTAATCATGATACATGTAAATAATACTTAATTAACATTCCGCATTCAGTTGGAGGTAACAACAATTTAAGTGATATTACTATGTTTGTTTATTACATATTTAATTCTATTAGAAAAATTATGAAATTATATATATTTATAGAGTTTATTTATTTTTGTCTCTTCATAATTATACTAATTGCAATATTTTCAACATGTTTATAGACTGACGATTATTTTATTAATGGATGTATTTAAATATATATATATATTTATAGTTTTAACAGTTTCAGACTTAATATGTAAATTTTATATACAAATAAAAGTTTCCTAACATTTCACATTTTGTTTAGCGTATTATTTGAATGTAGTTCAACTTTTAATTTGCGTGTCTACTATGAATATCTCTAATTCTATAATTTGTAAAGACTTTTAAGTTAAGTAATGTCCGTGCTTAAATTTTTTAAATTTTAATTCCGAATAGGCTATAGTCTTCATTCCTCACAATAATGCTTATAAAGTTGCATATCATAAATTATTTGAAATTATTCATTCGCTTTGTTAATTGACTTAAATTAATGAATTAAACATATTAATTGGATCCAATTTGCTTCAATTCTAAAACTGTCATCTTAATAATTAATTATTGTTTTATTTGCCATAAAAATTAAATATTTTCTGTCTTGTCTTGTCTTGATTTGAGATATTAAGTAAAATATATTTTTCTGATTACTAAAAGGAATTGATTAGATATAATTAAATTTGCTAATATTTTTCATTTTTTTAAGAAACGTTACGCAATAACAAGTATTTATACTCTTCATTAGACCTTTCTACCAATTTTCATATGTCTAAAGTCCGCCGAGCCTTTCCATTAGCAAATTCTTGTTAATTTTAAATCACGGAAGCAAAGAACAAAATGTGAACAAGATGCGAATTGCAAGTGATATTTAAGAATAAAAATACATAAAAGCTTTATTTATTAAATATGAATTATTTCACTTGAATCGCATGTGCATAAGACAAAAATCAACCTTGATGCGTATAATGGACTTAAACTGGTTTAATTTAACTGAAATTAAGCAGAAACCAAATTAACATTCCAGGGTTAAACGAGCAGAGTAAACATTGAAAAAAAACACGTCAACGTATTTTTGGCACAAGCTTATATTTATTGCAATTCTCTCCGGCCACTTCATTTTTTGTACAAGTAAAAATTTGAAAATAAATATTTAAGATTAATGATTAGAAAAAAGTAAAATTAAATTAAGGAGAATTGAAAATACACATTTCATATATCACAACGGTTTAGATTTGTAAGTTCCTGTCGATCGTGAAGATCGATACGGGCTCAGATAGGAAGTCGCGCAGTTTACGGAAGAAGACTGACTCCTTCTTCTTGTCTTTGTAGTCCCACTCGAGGTAAATTCGCGTCTTCATTAATAGACTAAGACTGGCGTTGAGCTTCTCCTTGGAAACGTCGCCGAGCTTAACTATAACTAGGGAATTTTGCTGAAGGTAATGTTTCTGCGCTGCCTGCACCTCCCACAAGCACCACTCGGATTTTATGTAAGCGTCGCTCACGATTAGCAGCATCTTCTTGCTCTTCTGGATGCTGGACGAGATGCTCTCCATTATAAGCGTTCCGATCTGAAAGTCTCTCTGGTACACGCACAGCCTGTAATGAGGATAATTGTTCTCCAGAGTCTTCACCAACTTGTCGACGAACGCGTGATCCTCGTTGCTGTACGACACGAAAGCGTCGTACTCAAAATGTACATTGTTCTTGTTAAAGTCACGGCTCTTGTGGCAGCCAATGTAACATTTGTAAAAGTAATTGCGCAACAAATACATCACTATAATCACGAACATGACGAGGAAACATCCCATGATAATAAACAGAACGTAATCGTTATTTACCAGGACGTTAACACACTGTTCAGTATTGTTCACATGTTCCAGATACTCCAGAATAGTCAAATTTGCGTATTCCTGCGGGAAAGAGCAATTCAGATGGTTCTGCTTTAGCAGTCCAGCAACTCTCTTGTTCTGTTCGATGACCTCGTTCAAAGCCGCTAAATCGGAGCAGTAACAACCGAAGGGATTCTTGGATAATTCGATCATCTGCAACTTATTGAAATCCAATATCATGCTCTTCGTTATGTTCTTGATCTTGTTATTGGAAACGTAGAACTCGGTGATTTTGTTGTTCTTCGGAAACAGCTGAAAATCCCACGAGTTGAAATTGTTGTTTGACAGATCCAACATTTCCAGATTTACCAAAGGAGCGAAGATCTCCGAGGGAAGAGATTTAATATCGTTGTTTTCCAAACCGAGATGTTTAAGAGATCTTAAATTTTCGAAAATATCTTGAGGAAGCTGCAAGTTTCCAATACTACAGTGACCTAATCGAAGTACTTCCAACTTATCCAAACCTGTGAATAAGTATTTTTCGAAATAACGTGTAGCAAAACGATTGTCCGACAAGTCCAGATAAATTAAATTCCTCAACGGCACGAAGGTTGAGTTCTCGATGAAGAACACATAGGAATTCTTCAGAGACATAATGGTCAAATTGCTCAATCCAATAAAAACGTTTTTAGAGAGTTTCCTGATGTTATTCCCGGAGAGGTTCATTACCGACAAATTCGTCATGTTAACAAACGCCTTGTCGTAAAGCGAAAAGTAACTGGGCGAGTATCCATTATATTTAAGTACGGAAATATCCAAATTCTTCAATTGCGCTAATCTCGCACCTTTCGGCACTTCAGAAAACAGGTTTCTACTCAGATATAGGTTCTTCAGATTGGGAAGAAACTCGAAGGCATTTGGCACAATATTCAAAGCGAGCACTTCATTCAAATCAAGCCTCGTTATTTTCGGCATCTTTGGAAATTGCTCGATTATCTCGAACTTATTCTTAGTGAGCGTCAGATGCGTGATATTAGTTTTGCCAATAACCTCAAGTAAATTCCTTGGTAACTCTTTAAATCCCAAATTGAATAAGCTGAGATAATCTAGCGGGATCTTATTTTGCACGATCACTTTGAGCACATCAATCACATTCGAAGTGTTCAAATTGTTTTCGCCTAAACCCAAAGTCTTCAAGTTTCGGAACGGCGTTAAACTCTCCGGATGGATGTAGGATATGCGGCAGGTGAAGAGATTCAGTGATGTGATGGTCGTGTTGACGAGATCCTCGAAGTCGTCTCGGTTGACGTTCGCAAAGGGCATTTGGGTTATTATTAAATGCGTGAGCTTGGGTAAGCTGTTAGCATTCAATGAGACGGTGAAGGTTTTCAAGTTGAGGAATCCGTTCTTGTTCAAGCGAATGGTGTGGAGATTGGTTAATCCATCAAAAGCGCCTTTCTCGAGGGAAACTAGGTTCCTGTTGTGCGTGATTGATAAGTTGACTAGTTTGGACATTCCGTTGAACGCGCCTGGCTCTATCCTCGAGAACTGGTCGTTTCCTTCGATCTTGAACATTGTCAATTGGGTGTTATTGAGCAGATCATTCGCCTTCAACGTTTTGATTGCTGTCGTCGAGATGCGAATCGTGAACGTTGGGAATCTGATCCTCGGAAAACGTTTGCATGTGTCCGGATCGTAACATGTTATAAACTTCTCCTTCAGGTAATGCCTGCAAAGGCAACCGCTCTCCGAATCTCTATCCAAAACACACGATTCATCGGATGGATAGTTGCCAATCAGAGGTTCATCCGTCATCTCATCCAAGTCGTAGGAAGCCGCCAGTTTGTTACCCATTGCCACATGAAGCACAGCGCAAAGTGTCACTAGGAAACGCGCAATCTTCATGGTCCCTCCACTTTGCTTGGATCATTGTCAAGTTGCTCTTCCTCCTAAAACAAAGAAAAACAATAAATAAATTCCATCAACACAATTGATTTCTACTTCAGTGGAAAAGCACATCTTAATCTTAGCAAATAACTCCTCCACAGATACCACCTTTCACGCGCGTCACACATTCTAAACCGGATGATAAGTAATATTATAAACAATTACGTAAGTCGTAAATTATTTTTTTTGCAAATTGTAACTTTTTTTAAACGCTATCACTAAAAATTCTTCAAATTCAAATGCCTTTTTTGTACAAAAACAAACCTATTGTTGCCAGTTGCAAAAATAAACTTAATTTAATAACAAACAAAAAAATGATGACAAACGTTAAATAACTGCTAGATATTATTAAATTTACAACATGTAACAGGTTTTTTATTTGTTGCTAAAGAGAAACTACTTTTACATTCACCAATCGGTTATCAACAATTCGAATAATTCAGAAGAGATCGTCGGAAATGCAAAAGCAAACAACAAACACACGCATATTATTAATAGCTGAAGCCGTTGAAGATACGAATTAATCACCTTCAAACAAACATTTACGTCAAAACTGTTTAAACACGAGGCAAACATCATTATCTAAGAACCAATTGGAAATGAATCCTTCCTGATTTACCAATTACCAAATTGATTTATGCTGTGCCTTTAAATAGAACTCGCTGAAAACGGCTCAAGAAAACTAAACTGAAAATTCACACAAAAAATACACATACAAATATGATAACAATTGTAATGCATTTGTCAGCTTCCATTATGTCTATATGCATAAATATAAACAATAAAATCCTTATGCAAACATAGAATCGTGATTGTCTAGTGTGTTCGTAGTGAAACGAGTTGCATGCAAAAATAATATTCAACAATTCTATATTTCACAGTTCAAAATTTACTTAGCATAAAATACTGGTGTAATTAGAGGAATCGATGAATATGAAAATCGTAATTGTTACTGCGAATTCATTTCCAATTCAGCTCCAGTATGGGAACATCTCGACGAATTCGATTGTATAACGAGGCGAATTTCAAACGACCTCCAAAAGGATCTTCTCCGAATTATCTAACATTTTGAATTTGCAAATTCGTTATATACAAATAACATAAGAACACTTTTGCATAAATTAATAGAGAGAGAGAAAGAAACGAGTTAATCCTTTATAAAAAGAAACCAATTTGCAACATATTTAAATTGAAGATTTAGTTTATACATTTCCGTTACATAACAAAACTTACTTTATTATTCTATTAGGTTGGCAAGAAAGTAATTACGGTTTTCACAAATTTATAACTTTATGTTAGTTTTGAAGAACTTCTGTCAATGTTGTGATTATTTGATTTTGTCATTTGAAAGATCTCACTTTTAGCTTCCTTTTGAAGCCAATTCCACTTAATTTTGTTTGCAGCTGTTAGTTTAGAATCAATTTTAACAGGAGTGCACAAATCGAAAACTGATCATGCTAAGATTGTGTATTTTTTAGATGAATCCAAGGAACCAAACGATTAATTCAGATGTTTACTGTCAACAACTAATGAAAATGGACGAAGCAACCAAATAAAAATGGACTAAATTGGCAAATATTGTTTCATCAAAATCCTTCCTCGTACATCTTTGATAATTCGTGGAAAATTATTGGAGCTCTGACCATGTACCAACAGATTACCATTTACTTCTAAAGGATCATGAAGATGCCAGAAAGATAGCAAAAAGTAGTCGGACAAAATGGAAATTTAAGACACAATAAAAAACTGAAAGTACATTCATCACGACATAAATTTATTTGCAGAAATCTTCTTAAGATTCTGTAAACTGATCATGAAAAATAGGATTCAAAATTAGATTTTGAGTTCTCTGAAGCAAATCATCAATATTACATTCAAGATCAACTTATCAACCATTTAAACACAATACTCAAAGTGTTGGTCTAAGAAACTTTGTATATCCAAAAGGGAGTCGCAGAAACGTTTTATATCCAAAAAGGGGTCGGGGACCAACAAGTTTGAGAATCACTGCTTTAGATAATTTACATAAATATACTAAAGATTGATTTTTTTGTCTATATAGATATATTAGAGATATATCAAATGAAGAATCCTGTTCCATTTATGTGTTTTTAATGTTCCAAAAAAAATGGATATACAAGTCTACTGCTAATACAATTATCACCAAAGCGGCTATAACGGTCTTTTATCAGTGTCTCTCGTGTTTCTTATTTCTAAAAAAACACATCCAAACCGCTTTTCTTCCTTGTTTTCATTTGAATCAAAATATCCAACGTTTAGATAAAAGACAATTTAATCAATCCAAAGTATTTTTCCATTTATATACATGAAGACACATTCGTAAATATTTCGTCGTTCGCCCAAAGCAAGTCCAATCAAATTATAGAGCACAGAAACTTTCCCTTTCTAAAAATACAAGCGTGTATTCAAAATACGGCTTCAAATGTTATCGACGAAATGTAATAATACTTTGAGGGGGAATAGAAAGCATTAGGTAAAAAGCAACCGGTTCGACGGAGACACGAGAAGATTGTATTAATATTTTTTTTAGAAAGTTCTCATTTGATTCACAGAATTATTTGATGGCATAACGTTAAATTCCCCAAATCGATTAAACTTTAAGCTTTAACAATGTTGTATTCATGTCAAAATTACAATATTTCAACAAAATTTTTGAGTGTTTCAAATATGCACTTTTTTCTTTAAAATGTTATCAATCGGAGAAAAATTTAAGAAATCACAGTTTAAATATTTTTAATTTATTTTATATTATTAATCAAAAATAAAATTCAATTTCTTTAAGTTAAAGTTTACGTTTCTGAGAGATATTCAATCAAACCTTTGTTTCTATCAAAATTATGCAATTTTCTTGAAATGTTAAATATTTTTTTATACATTTTCTTATATCCATATCACTCATTATTTAAATGTTTAAAAATCTCAAATAATTATTAAATCTAATGCATATCAATAGAAAATAAATTTAAAAATTCGGTTAAAAAATAATTATTTTCAAATATTAAATTAACCATAAACTGTTTTATATTATATTGTTATTTATTCTAAAACAAACTATGAAAAAAGTTTTGAAATTTATGAACATTTTTATGTGGATATTCCAAGTTTTTGTGGAATTCAGTTAAAAAGTGTATTTGTTAGTAAATAAAAGTAATTACACAAAATGAATCATGAAACAATACAACACAATTTGATTAATCATATAATGAGTTTATTATTAGTTTTGTACAGTAAACCACAAACAGCCATTACGAAACAACTAATGAACGATTAAATGAATGGAAGCAATTAAAGGTAGACAATCTAACGTCGCTCTGGAGATATGATGTTATTTACCTTAAGATAAACCGTAATGTTTCGAAAAACAAGATAACTGTCAAAACGCATGCCTCGTCGGCCCTTTTTCGTGCAGTGCGACGAATTGCGTAATTTCACTAGTTAATCAACATCCCCCAAAATGGAAAAAAAAGTTTTTCGAACTAGAAAACTGTTAAATCACCGCACGCTCGGATCGCGTTTTGCGTCAAAAGCCCGTGTGTTGTTTATGAAACAAAGCGATTCACTTGACTGACAAAAATGCCGATGGTGGGAGACGCGACAAGTATACTAAAATATTTTTCAACACAGAGATATGTACTATACATAATTCACAATCCTGGTGGACTCAAGGCGAAATGCGGACTCCTAACACACCGCACAGTGCTTACTGGCTGGTTAGAATGCGTTTCGATATTCCTTCGGTGGACACAAGCAGAGGGGAAAAACTCGAAAGCGAAAAATAGTTTGTGTTATATAAATAGATTCTTTATTCTGTAACAATAAACAATACTGTTTTGGTATTGAAATGAAGTACGTTTTGATTGCGGTAAGAAAGATGTAGATAGGATAAAATTAAACTATTACTAAATATTTCTTTATTTTCATAACAATTTTCAATTGAGACAAAAAAGATACTGAATTTTTCTAACAAAAAAATAAATAACTTATCATTGAATTGTAGCATTACTCAAAAGTTGCACCAATAAAATTTGAAAATATTAACAAAATGTGTCTGAAAGACTATGGTCACTAAATTAACACATTAAATTAAATAAATGAGTAAATATTTTAACATTATTTATAAAAAAAATATTTGATTTAAAAAGAAAAGTGGAGATTCAAGGAATTGGTATAAAAATGTACAGACTAGGAATGTCGCTTTACGCAGTAGTTGGATGTGGCAAGAATCTAAAAACAAACGGAAATACATTAAAAAACATATACATTATTCGCACATATTTTTTTTATAATCTTTAAATGAATATTGTGTAAAGATATCAACTATTTGACTTTGTCTTTGAATTAAAATCAATATGTATTGAATATATAGAATTGGTTACTTGCTACTTGACAAGTACTTTTTAAATTATATAAATTATAGTCTACAACAGCGGATCTTAAGCTATGAGTCATGATAAATTTTGCATGGGTACCAAAATGATAGCTGTCACCTAGCGTCAAAGCGTTAAAAATGTGTATCGCAGTAAAACTATAAAGAAATATTTTGATTGAGAAACATAATTGTATCATCATACTAAAAAGTTAAACCAAAAATAATATGTGAAGATATTAGCAAAATGGGTCTGAAAGATTATAGTTAATAGCCGTATGTTAATATTATAATGTTAAATTATATAAATGGTAGTCTACAACAGCGGATCTCAAGCTATGAGTCACGATATTTTTTTCATGGATACCAAAATGACAGCTGTCGCCGCGTGTCAAAGTGTTAAAAATGTGTGTCGTAGTACAACAATAAACACATAACTTACCTTTCATGTAATATTTTTAAGTATTTATAATTTTTACTTGAAAAATATAGAATCTGAAGTATGTTTTAGAAATTAACTATCTTCTCGAGGTTGAGGCAGCTTTTATCTAAAAACAAATGGAAATGTTAGATATATACTTAGAATTGTTCGCACATATTTTTTTATATGTTTTAAGTTAATATTTTATAAACACATCAATAATTTTAAGAAAATATGCTTTTTGTGTTTGAATACAAATTAAAAATAAATTCGGTTAAAATTAATATAAATTGTATTGAATCTATAAAATTAGCTACTTACAACTTGACAAGTACTTGTTGAATTATATAAATGGTAGCGGTTCTCAAGCTATGAGTCATGATAAATTGGTCCCAAAATGACAGCTGAAAGTATAAAATAGCGAAGGATATCTCAGGGTGCAATGATCATGTTGCTATCTTCTCATGGTTTACGCGATTTGTATCTAAAAATAAACGGAAATGCATTAAATAAAATATATACTTAGAATTGTTTGCAAATATTTTTTATATGTTTCAAGTTAATATTTTATAATCACATCAATAATTTTTAGAAAAAATTCGGATAAAATTAATATAAATTGTATTCAATTTATTCAATTACCTACTTACTACTTGACAAGTACTTTTTGAATTATATAATTGACAGTCTACAATAGCTGTTTCTCAAGCTATGAGTCACGATAAATGGGTCCCAAAATGACAGCTGTGACCTTGCGTCAAATATGTGTCGAAGTACAACTATAAACAAATATTTTGATTGAGAAATTCTGGTCTACAATATCTGAACTCACTCTTCTTGTAATACTTTCAAGGTTTTAATAAATTTTACTTGGAAAGTATAAAATAGTGAAGGATGTCTTAGGGAGCAATGGTCATGTTGCTATCTTCTTATGGTTTTTTGAGGCGACTTGAATCTAAATTGAAAAGTACGTTGTGGAAGTCCATGTGAGTCATCATAGGTTCATAAATAAAGCGAACTGCAATCATAATAATAAGCAAAACCATATTTTCTTGAATAAAGTAAATTCCCAATAATTAGTATGAATATGAAAAAATAAATAATTAATTTAATCAGAAAACTAATCTTCATTTTTTACTTTATTATATATTAATTTTAAAATATGTTTATGGTCATATAATAGCTATGACGTTTAAATATATCTGTCAAATGTCAAATAAAATTTAAAAAAAATATTGTTTTCTAATAATTCTATAAATTTCAATATTATTTCATAAAAATTCTTATTCCCATCTAATATGTAATATTTCGGTGGCAATCGCAAGCCCGACAACCGAAATCCCGTCTATCAAAATCCCGACGGATACACTCGGGATTTAGAATGTCGGGATTTCGAACGTCGGGATTTCAATAGACGGTCTTTCGGTTGTCGGGCTTGCGATATAGACCCGTAATATTTGTATTATTTACTTGTTATTAAGAATCTAATACTTCATATGAAATTATAACAAAAATATAGATTTTGATTGATTTATAAAGAATTGTAAAATAATACACTTAAAAAACTATGCAATTGAAGTACCGTGTCATATGAAGATTGCCGTAATTGTTGACCGTGTTATTCAAGTCTCCGTATAACTCTAATATCGTGTTATTCGAATTATTTTTTATTGATCAGATAATTTTTACTTGATCAATTTACAGAAAATTTTATAATATTAAATTATTTTATTAATTCAACTTATAATTAACCAATTTTACATATCCTTGATAAACTACAATAAAAAAAATGCAACTTCTTTCTGCTTCATTTTCCAAACACGCTTTATCCAACATAAATAATTGAAATTCGCGGAACATTTAATTCCCCTTACCATGTCTACACTTTATTTTGTTTCTCTCATTATGATCACATTCAAGTTTAATTTGTATTCCCGCTTCGTTGACATCCAAATTTTACTTTGTCGCTTCTCATCAATGCCGAATAATGCACGTACTTCAAAATATACAAAACAAATAATTATTTCAAAAAAAAAACAATCCAGTATTGCTCATAAACATTTACAATTCCGTATAAGATATTTTTCATTTTTTTAAATCAACAATATAAAATCTTGTACATTTATTAATTACAACAAATATAAATAGTTTCCACTTTGCAATTCCGCTTACAATTTACATCTATAATCGCAGTGCATACGTGGCGTCAGTACGTTGTTAACAGTTCCGACTACTTCATTAGTATTTTGTAATTGAAGCTTCCTATTTTTTTTATAATCGGCATTGAAAAAACGATAATCGAATAAAAAACAAGGTTCGATTTCCCTATAAAATTATTGTTCATTAATCTGCAACAAATTAATAGCTTAATTTCAATGTCAATGCAATTTATTATAAATTGCAACAATTATTAAAGGTTGTTGATCTTTTTACCATTTAATTATTCTCAAAAAAATAATAAAACTTATAATTACAAAGTTTAAAGACAATGTGAGTTTATTAATATAAGAGTACATAATAATAAATATTCCTTGAAACAACAAATTACAGAAACTATTACGTAATTAGTAATAAAAAATGTTATGTCGTATTTTCTTTTTGCTTAATATTAAATATCTTTTCAAGTTAAATGCGTTGAGTGAAATGTAAACAAGTTTCGGTGTAAGAAATACGTGCTCACCCAACGACCGTCCTCAATTCGAAATTAATTTCTATTTCATTACATACATGAAATTATTGAATACGCGTCTCATGAACACAGAACAATTCGTGTTGTTCGAACTGATTTGGAAGGTCGTGCAATGCCATATAAAGGGCGCATCAAGGCTGCTTAAAAAGTTTGGTATTTTCAAATTTAGCTTCATCAGTTAAGAAATTGAATAGATGATAAAAACACGTAACGGATCTCGATTGTACAGAGGTCATCTTCCGAGCATACGTGTGAAGAATCTGGTAATGATTTCTCGAAGTTAACACTTATGTTATTACAGTGTACATATTGTTATTTGCTTATAAATGTTTTATTTGTAATCCGTGTTTAAATTTCTTATTTGTACTTCGCGATGAAAATAAGTTTCAAGTAAACTTTAAAAAACATTACTTATTCACAGTTTGTGATTTATATTTATTCTGTTTGTTTACACACGTTGTAAATATACACTTTATTTTGTTATATTTGATTTATTTACTGGAATTGAGGAAACACGTTTATTCATTTATTTCAATCACATTCATAAAGTACAAAGAAACTTCAACTAGTCATAATTAATTTGTTGTTGAATTATTACCACATCTATTTAAATATGACTAGTACTTCGTCATATTTAGTTCAGAGAGACTATATTCTAATTTAACAAATATTTGCACATTTCAATCAATTATAATGATTTTCTAGTTGAATTATTACTACATGAACTTTTTGCTTTTTCTTTAGTAAAGAAAACCTACATACTTATAACAATATTAAATTAGACTAATATGAAAGTTTAACAATTGTACATTTAATAATATATGTAATGTTTATTTACTGTAATAATCAGTAGTTTTTTGATAATAAAGTTATAAACTTTTAATTCTTTTTATTTATTTACTTAATTGACTATAATTTTGAATTTATTGTGAAGTTAAAGGTGGGTATATGCAAAGAAGATTCTGTTCTAACTATAGGCAACTGAAGAAGCAGGTATAAAGGCATTGAATAGCTAGTAGATGGAGCTAAGGTAGTTGTCAGGATTTAGTTTATGATTCAAAATGGCGTTGCTTAAATATTTGAAGAACATGTGCTCTGGGCATTAGATTGAAGGCCAAAAAAACTACGAGGAAATATCGTAAAATCGATATCTCTAATATCGCAAGAAGCGTTGAGGGTTCGTGCACTTTCTTGCGTTGTCCGTTGGTCGTGTCACGTGCGAATAAACAGGAAAATGGAAGGAACGAAGGACACCGAAATGCAAAACAACAAATCCCTGGAGGAAGAATCACAGAGCAACACCCTGATGGATCTCAACAAAAGCAAGGACCAGGAGACGCAAGTCATTCAACCCCAGCAGGTTAATATGGTCGTCAAGGATACTGTTATATTGGATTCATCGAACAATGAAATCTCAGCTGAATCTAACACAGAGGAGAAACAGGATGTGCAGAAAGCCGAAGTGTTTGATGTGTCGAACAGGTCTCTGTGCAACTTGCTGGTTTACTCGAGTGGAGATTCAAGCAGCAGTAGCAGTAGTGACAGTGAATCTGACTCGGATGATTCCAGTTCTAGCTCATCCAGTGATGTTGAGGAAGTTACCAAGTAAAGTTCAGCAAAATCAATATATGTAACTGTGACTATATATGTTAATCAATTTCAGTAAACCTGTATCCGAGACATCAGCAGCAAAGAAAAACAATAAGAAGAAGTCTATGACTTTGCTGGAAACATTGAAAAGCTTGGGAGAGCTTAGCATAGATGATTTACCACCAGTTCCTGATGTTTCCTCTCTCAGTATTAAAGTTGAAGATTGTCAAATGATGGGGAAAGTTTCAAGTATTGTTGATAAACTTGGTAAGTACTTTAGTTTATAGTACATTAGAAATTAATGGAATATTATTTAGAAACACCTATTTTATTGACTTTTATATAAGATGTTCCTTAATAATCTCAATATTATTATTGAATAAGGGCTGATGCACTTCAATCCATTATTATTATTAGTTATTTACAATTATAGCAATCATACATTTATTCAAATTATTTCAACTAATTAAAAAGAACTGAAAAGTAAACAAAAGTAAATACATAAATACAACAACCATTTACTGTTAAACATTATTACTTGTAACAAGTGTAATAACAGATTTAAAAGTACATGAATACCTCACAAAGTACGACTTCAGTCAGTCCGGATTCACTATACGTCGCTTTTTTCTTTATATCGTCTCTTTTTGTGCGGATTATTTTTATTTTATTTAGCTTCTCGATTAGTCCGGTTTCAAAGACTCCGGGATATTATCGGTAATATGCGAGGTATTGCCTCATTTTTAATTAAACGAAAGGAAAGTTCTTAATACTAGGATTACATTACCTATTATTCTTAAAATTTGTAAGACAATCTATGAAGAGCATTCAATTGGAACTTTAATTAAAGTAAATTATAGTTCTATATGTCGTAATGGGAACCAATTGATTAGTCTGTGATCCGCCCACTTATTGCATTACTTAATCGCTGTTTCAATATTCGGTTTTAATTAACAATTAACATTAGCCTCGATTGTTTAGTCATTTGTTGCAATTAAGAACAAAAGAATGCAATATACTCAATATTTAATTATATTATAAAAAATTGTTATGAAAATATGTTTTTATTAAATATTTAAAGCTACTTATCAAGTAACTTGTATTAATAAGTTCTTATAACACTATTAATTATTAAAGATCAATTGACTTGCCTATATTATTTAATAATATAGTTTTAAATTTCAATAGAAATATTGGATGTTTTGTTCTGTTTCGGACGTTGGCGTGTTACTAATCAAGTAAATTGATTTATTGATTTTAATCGCGTTGTAGTACTTTCTTAGTTGATGTAGCTTGTTCACAATGTTTAAATTGCGAATGTTTGTTCTTAAGTTGAGGATGAAAATATCCAAATTTAAATAATATAAATTGTTGGATATAGTAAGTATGAATGTGCCCGTGGATATAGTTTATAGATTAAGATGAATATGATAATTGTTTTATTAATAATGATTGGTTTGTTGTAGTTATGGTTGAGTCAATCCCAAATATGCCGGCATATGATATTGATACACTATTGTTTATCAACAATGGAAAGCAACCTCTGGGATATATTTTCGATGTGATTGGGGCCGTAACATCTCCAATGTACGCTATAAGATTTAACTCAGTGGATGAGATAAAATCCTTAAATGTAACAAAAGGACTGCCAGTATTCTCAGCCCCGAAGTCCGAACACACACAATACGTGTTTGTTCAGCAACTCATGCAGTAAGTACAAATTCAATTTAATTAGAATCATTGCAATCATTTGTAATTTAATAGTATATTATTTTTGGCAAAGCTTGATTATGTTTTTAGTAATGTAGCGATTTTTGTGTAGGTAGAAAAATGTTAAGATAGATAAAATTCAGCTGTGTGGTTTCAAAATTTTCTTTCATAAATCTCGTACAAAAATTTGCGTAAGTTTCTCGTGCTTATCTCGAGGCGATGAGTTAGTTGTGCGAGACGCTGATGGTGTGCATGTTACTTTTATTTTTTTAGGGCGAAGGGTAGCGACGCATCTTGGTCGAACGATTTGGAGGTGCCCCAGGAGTTCGTGGACTATTCTGACGACGAGGCGGAGTGTAGTAGAAAGAACTCGTTCAGGGGGGAGAATCGAAAACGTAATAGCTTAGAGAGGTATAAGAATTTCGAGAAAGATATGAATGTGAAAAATATTATAGATTCGAGGTTGCATAAGATCCGGGACAATACCGAGCCGATGAATAAGAAACAGACGACGAACAGTAATTATAAACGGCCTCAGCAACAATACCAACCGAACGGTTACTGGCCTAATGTTGGGTACTCGCATGCTAACGCCTCGAATCAATCCTGTGCCTTCCCTTACGGAATGCCACCTTACATGCAGCCCTTCAGGCCGCAGGGTATGCCTCCTTTCGTGCCTCCTGCTAACTTCGCTCCCAACGTCTACCCGCCACTGCCCAACGTCCCGAACGCAATGTTCACGATGCCTCCGCCACCAATCGTAGGTCCTCAAGCCAAAGGACAGTCCCAACCGGGAATGGTTTACCATCCGCCCGATATGGGTCTTCCGCGGCCTCCTGTTCCACCCACCACCGGCTACGTTCCTGCCAACATGCCCTTCTACGATCCCCGCATGGCCCAGATGTTTCCGAACATCCCACACGCTAACCGCCCCACCTTCCCGCAACCCAACTTCTATCCGAAACGCCCATAGCTAACGAGGATCCAACCTTATTTTTACTTTTCATATTATTTCTACTACTCTTATTTCTGGATCCAGTATCCAGTTTTCAGACAGGGTTAAACTTTTGTTGTGTTCCAGAAAGTTTATTAAGCATTTTTTTTCTTTACTGTACATACTCATTTTTTTTATTATAATTTGTATTTTTTTATTATTTTCTTCATTAAGAAAACTAATTATAATTTGTATTTCTTTTTTAATTTCTGGACATTAAACAAAATTTTTGTTTTACAATTATTTATTTATTTTTTTCCAAAATTTCTACTTGTCGTTCTACCGAAACCCCTTTTTAAACAACTTGATAGACTGCTCACACATTAATTACTATGTGTATTTTCGTATATGTTCTTTTTGCACCTCATACCCAAAAACTCGGTCGGTTTATAGTGATGATAGCTCAAACTATATTTCATATTCATATCTCCAAATACTTAGTTGTGTTTTCTGTTATACAAGTATTTACATTAAAAAACACATATATATTCCTGTATACTAGTTATGTAATTCTTAATATTGTGATGAATTGTGTGCTCGACTCGATAAACAAAACTAAAGAGTCATCAGACGCGCACTACCGTTGCGCCACTCTTTGTAAACTCTTTCCGATACTAACAAGAATCGAGCACGCAATTGATAGATTTATATAATACTATTTACTGAATGTTACGTAATTATTTATGAAACTTTTTCCTACTACTACTTACTATAGCAACCAAAGCGACAAAGAAAGAATTATTAATAATAATAATAAGAGAGAGATTACCTTTCCAAAACTGTTTAACCAAAATTTTTGGACACGAAAACAAAGCAAAGTAAGCTTGACTAAAGTAAACAAAAAAAAAAACAAAATCCTCACGATAATAATGATAATATATTTTTTATAATTGTATTATTTGAAAATGCCAAGCAAGTTTTTTGATAGCGAGCAAACCAATTATATAAGATACAATGAACAATTTGTTACACGTATTTAAGCGGCAGAGTTTACAGAGAAATGTTTAAAAAAAATATAGTTACTTTGCAGTTTTTCGTTGAAACGTGACTTGAATAAAAAAAGATTATTATGAAAGTAAATGTGAAATGCGAATAAGCCTTATAACCACGAAAAAGATGCCAGTAATATAAAAACTTCAAAATATAATAATAAAATAAATCGATTCGGCTTGTGTAACTAACTAGAATTGTGAACGTTTTTTCGAGAATTTGCTTGATAGTTTTTAATCAGAATTTTATTCATATCTACTTAATCACGTAGTGGATACATAAGTGACAAATAATTATAATATTTAGTATCGAAGAAGGCTAAAAATAATGCAAGTAAATTGTAAAACTATGGTCCATGGTTCGTTTAGATTCAGATCTTTTTATTCGAATAGAAATGGATGTTGTGATTTTTGAATTATTCAAAAGTATATACTATATTGTTGGGACGTAGCTTTAAATATTGTAACAATAATTTAACGAAAAGCAATAATCTTAGACGAAAAAAGAAACGTATAATTCACTTGAATTTTTTCTATAGTTGCACGTAAACGACAAAAAAAAATATTAAAATATAAAAGTAAATCTGATAATAATACAATTTTCGAATATATCTGGATGTCTTTACACTCTTTAAAAGTATATATACATAAATATAATTCAGTGTCTTAATACAAAAAAAATAAAAATAATGAAACGCTCTTACTGTTGTTACTTTTCGTGTGATTGTGATTGAAAACAAATCTACTGAATGTTGTCTTATTATAATATCTCTGTTTAGGATGTCTAGAGTTTAATATACATTTTTTCTCTTTTTCTACATGTAATATTTTTGTTACCATTTTAACTTTGCAATAAATATTTTTCATTATAAACACACATTTCTATGACGTGATATTACAATGTTTACCTGTACCAAATCCCATAATAATTTTGTAATATTCAAGCGATAACATTCTCACGTATCGATCTATTTGTTATAGTTTATCAAATTGTTATTGTATAATAACTAAATCAATATTTATTTTGTTGTTTAATATTACGTAAGTTTCTAGTAAAAATCTATAAAAGTATATGATAATTCAACAATTATTTGTTTTATAATCTATAAGGGATGACAATACAGTCGATTCCGCTTAATTAGGACACCGATTAATCGGGACAACCGCTTTTTAGGGACAAATCCTAAAGAACGGAAACAAAACCGAATTAAGCGAAATCTAGTATTAATAAATTGTTTTTCAATTGTTTATTTAATCTCCATATAAACAGTAGGATTTACAGATACCAGGATTTTTAGAGATGTAATATTTTAACGAACTTTTGTCCTATTTGATCTCCGTTTCGTATTCTGAACACATTTAATAATGAATTGTTTAAAAAAAAATCATAGAAAATTTCTTGTTGAAATTCATTAATTTGTAATCAGTATTAGAACAAATCAAATTTCATCTATATTGCTTTGACACTGGCAAATTGAACTAATTTGAGTCAAAGAACCGAAATATTCAAAATACTTTTTATCAGAAAACTAGAAAATTGTATCGTTAATCTATAAATGTTTATGATAATTCAACAATTATTTGTTTTATAATTTACAAGGGATGACAATACAGTCGATTCCGCTTAATTGGGACACCGATTAATCGGGACAGCCGCTTTTTAGGGACAAATCTTAAAGAACGGAAACAAAACCTAATTGAACTTAGTCCCGATGTGTCCCGATTAAGCGAAATCTAGTATTAATAAATTGTTTTTTCAATTGTTTACTTAATCTCCATAGAAACAGTATGATTTACAGATACCAGGATTTTTAGAGATGCAATAATTTAACACCGGTTATTGTGAATGAATATTCGAGTGAACATGTGATTCTGATCTTTCACTCGACGTATGTGTTTACCTACTCCAGGTCCCATGACTCTTTTCTACCATCCACTCTTATTTTTTTTTTGCAGTTGTTGTTGTTCTCAAGGTTAATGTTCCAAATAACGAGAAAGGTGCTGCGGTTTCGTTCGCAATGGACCAGTTCCGGTGAATCAAATTAGGATGGAGTCAGTATATTGGAGCGGCCGTTGGAGCAACAACAGCAGCTGCAGCAGGAGGAAGAAGAAGAAGAGAAGAGTTGAAGGAGGAAAGCAAAGAAAAACATAAGCAGAGCAGAGTAGTAAACATTAGACACGCGTCCAAAAAAAGCCGCTCTCCAAAATGAACCTCGGACCTCGGGTATGTGGCGTAACTCGATCGGTCAATCCAATCAGTAATTTTATTTCACGGCGAACCGAGCCTGTCGAAGTTCGCGTTCAGTTCAGTTATCAAATCCGCTGATTGGATGTGCTCCACGGAATTGCTTCGCAGAAATACGTCCGACATCCTTGTACCTGCAGACATCGAAAAGAAAAATATAAATTTAAAGAAAAAAAATAACGCAGAAAAAGTGCGCGTGTTACACAGCTACAAATGTGTGTCCAATTATTTGGGATTACCTAGGCATTCGGCGCAGAGTTTCTTCGATTTGTTTTGGTTTTTAAACTTTTGAAGGTAACTCTCATTGTTCCCAATTCTGCAAATATGAAGAGAAATTGTGATAATGGTAATGATTAATCGCAATTTAATACTGAAATTAATACATTCCATCCATAATCGTATTAGTGATTATTAAACCAATCAAAGTAATAACCACTTTCCTTCCTTGAAAAAGCAATAGTTTTAGTATATATTAGAATTATCATATTTGGTCGGCAAAGAAAGTTCTTATTCTGCAAATATGATTTATTTGTTTTATTTATGAATGTTTGCAAAAAAATATCGTTTTGGTATCGATTATAATTATCCTATTGGTAATTAAAACTGTAACTTTTCTTACTTCATTTTAACTCTGTTCCAATTTACGAAATACCACATTTGCTAATGAAGTGTTTAAAACATGGTAGTAAATTTATTTTGAAATATAATTTATTGCTTCTTCGATTCATTTTTAAACTTTAAAAGTAATTTATTTTCCCGCTTGAAGGTTGTTCTCATTCCGCAAATATGCAGGTATGGAGATAAATTGTGATTATGTTAATAATTTTTTTGGTCGCAATTGGATTAAGAAATTAATTCGTTTTATCCATTATAGCAATTCATTTATACTTATAACAATCCTTTTTTTTCTCTAGAAAAAAAAACTCATATTTAGTTAAAATATCAGAATTATCATACAAATAGATGCAACTATACTATTTTTTGTATAGACCTTGAACCACTTTATTTATATCAGTGATCTCTCATTTTTGTTTTCATCTATATTATCTATAGGCAACATTTATTGTCTTGTATATATGGTAAAGTTAGTATTTATTATTTAAAATTATGTCTTAAATTGTTGTTATGAAATATTGTGTTTAGTTATGAGATAATCAAAACAATTTTTCTTATTTCGAATCAATAATAAATGATTTATTGGTTGTCATTCAATTCGTAATAAACACTGCAAATTTGATACAAGTTCATTATAAAAAAAGAGTTATAAACTTGTTTCAAGGTTCAGAAAATTAAACAGTATCAAATGTAGCAAACGTTGTTAACGATCGTAATTCGTCACCCCCGAAAAGCAATTAAAAACATCTGAGGGAAAATCGAAGAAAACAGCCACGTTTTCCCATCTACTTCTTTTTTTCTTACTTTTTCTTTTACTTTACTTACTTTTTCGTCCGGCAGAATTGGAATTTTAGGGCAAACTCCTCAACGAGAGTAATCTTATTAGCTCGGAACTCCACTCTTTGGGATGAATTAGGGTTAAATAGAGACCGACCACTCTTCAGTTTGCGAACTCCAGAAACTAATATGTAACGCTCGAATGCTGTTTACATCCATTGCAAACAAGACAATTCCGTTATGTAATGCTTCAAAGGAAAACGAACTTTTGTCCTATTTGATCTCTGTTTCCCATTCTGAACACATTTAATAATGAATTGTTTAAAAAAAAATCTCATAGAAAATTTCTTGTTGAAAATCATTCATTACAACGATTTGTGCAAATCAATTTCATCTAGTTTGGTTTGACACTGGTAAATTGAACTAATTTGAGTCAAAGAACCGAAATATTCAAAATACTTTTTATAAGAAAACTGTAGTAAATTGTATAGTTAATCTGTTTACAATAATGTTTGTGCAAATTCAATTATAATATCAATTTGTTCGATATTTATTGACCTGTTTTTAATAAATATCTGAAGCAATTTGTGCAAATTGAATCGCTGCAGTAAATCGTCTCGTTTCACTACATTGATTTGATCAAATGCATAACACTTTTGATACAGAAAACATGCATGTAAAAACGTCGTGTGGCGTTAATAAAATGTTAATATTTATAAATTACCGGAGTATTCGCAGCTGCCCGTTTTACATGTTTTCGTAGTTTAAGTGATGTTTGTGCAAACGTAAGATGCACATAAATCTGCATGGCAGTCCGTCATTAATCATGAGGGAAGACGAGTTTTACTGGCATCGTAATTCAATTTGTTCAGGTGAATGCGGATAAACTACCGAACGAACGCAATAAACTTAAGTGTAATCAATTTGAAAATTAAATATATGCAGAGTAGTTGTAGTAGTTGTTGTTGATTTATTCCATTTTATTTGCATTTCCTGTACATTGTACATCAAATTTTGTATATTATTATCGTGGCGCTACGATTTTACTCAATTTATTTTACGACGAAGTTTCGTTGGAATTCTTCGCATTTTCAACGTAAATTCGCCTTTGTTATGAATATTTACTTTAGAAAATTAGTTTGACGCACGTTGTTCCAACTTTACATACAATATTTCCTTATGAATTTATGAAGCAAATTATTCATTTATTTCTATTAATATTTACCTTGTAACACTTTACTTGAACTCTAGATACAATACTTTCTGTTGTAATATTAATATAATTTATTTCTATGCAAAACGAAACTGAAACTGAAGGAAACACCATTTTAATTAACGTATAATGCAATACCTCGTATATGCCGGATAATCGGTTCCTCCAATTGAAGCCGGACTAATCGAGAATAAAGCACAAAAGAAGACTTGACTGTATAGAGAGAAAACATTGATCATTCATTTACAAAAAAATAATAATTTTGTAGTATTTAAAAATTTCTAACCGTACTATGCGAAGTATTGCTGTATTTTCTTATATAATCATAGTTTTTTTAAGTCCTATAATTTTATTCACAATATGTTCATCAATGTGAACGTTGAGTAAATTTAAGATCGCAATGACATTAAATGGATAATCTTTCCCAGAGATAGTTACTATTGTGATGATCATGTCGTCTTGTAGGTTAACTTCAGTAGTATATTGATGCAAGCACTGAGAGGGCTCACAAAGGGCCTGGCTTGAACAGGATTCGAACCGGCGGTCACGAAGTCGTGGGTAGGGCGACTTACCTATTCGGCTATTAGTCGCCCTTAATCATAGTTAAAGCAATTAATTAGAAAAGTTAAACAAAGTTAATTAAATTTTAGATTGTGTTTAAGAAAATTAAAATGTGTTTGACCAAGATATTGTGTTTGATTTTTCAAACTAATAATTGCGATGTAAAGTTTGTATTTGTCTTTGCTGAATTGAAGATTTAGCGCACTTGGATCGCGTTTATCTTAGTTAAATTATTACACAAGGGCAGAATCTGTTGCTGCAGCTGTGTACATCAAAACATCTCCGCTTTGTTTACACTTTACTATTTACAGGATAAAGTTGTATAATACAGCCGGAGGCGATTGCAACTCGAGTCCAGGAGAGTCAGTTTAAGAAAACCCATCCAATTAGGAGTGAATATATTATACTTCTTAAGGAATTAAGTGTATGATCCAAATGTATTTCATACTTAATATGAAACTGTTCTTTTAATCTTATTACAAAACCTCATAACTTAAATCTGTAATTTTTATATGACAACTTTAATTTTTATAAAACTACATTAATTTAGTATACAAGGATTAGTAGACCTGAAATATCTATACTAATACAGTTTTTTTAAATTTCAATAATAGAAATTATAAAAAATATATATTAATTTTTGTTTACTTTTTGTAACTGTTACAACAAATTTTTATATAAATGATTAGAATTTTACACTAAATTTACAAAAACGTAATTTATGTAATAAATAAATAATGTTATTTTACGAATAATCAAAACGTTTGTAGAATTGTTGGAATGGAGCCAAGATTAATTTCGGAATTTGCACGAGCATTAAAATAGATTTAATTCATAATTTATTACTTTATTATTGTGAAGAATTGATAGGTTTTAAATGATGAAATTAACAAAAAAAAATCTATATTTTTACTGATAAATAGAAATATATTAATATTAAATTTGAGAGTTTAAATTCGTTTGAATTCATTGATTTCAAGGTAATTAAAAAATAATTTATTAGTACTTGAGACCATAATGTGGTTAATCTAGGCGTGGCAATTTGAATTTCATTATTGATATCAGAGTAAATAGATAAAAGTTAGGTAACTTTATTCTATTAATTTGTTTTTACTAAACATTCATGAATTAATTGTGTGTTAATTGTTATTTAATTAAAGTAAATATTGTCTTTAATCAATTATTAAGTCTATGTTGACAAAAGATGTGATTTTTTTTATGTCTAAGCTTTTTAATATTCAGGTGTATAACAGATAATACAAATATCAATGCAATAAATTAATATAAAGTACATTTTTTTATCGAACGATCAAAAAACTGATAATTTCAAATTATCGGTAGAAAAATCTCAAGTGCAACAAATTAATATCCTCGAAATTTCAAAGATAACGTATGATAATTATAAAAAAAAAAATTATTGCTACAATACAATTTTTAAAATGAATTATTAGTAAATTTGAATTTATTTAGTAAAGTTTGAAATCGAAATTATAACGAAAATTCAGAGATTCGAAAAGAAAAAGACATAAAATTTAAATTTTAAATTCGAATTATTGATCAAAAAATTGTTGGTTTTATTTACGATTATTCTGATTCTCTGAATTTCATTGAAAATTTAGAGATGATAATGAAAAGAAAGAAAGATAAACAGAAAAAAATGCATGCCTTCAAGAGGAATATAGAAAAAAAAACCTGAGCAATCAGCAGTTACATATCAAGCAATGGGCAACATATTTTGCTTCTCTCGTCATTCCATATGCGTTAACTGTTTCCAGTCTGCTTTTATTGCCAATGCAGCTCTATGTGCTAATTCGTTATTTGTTTTGTTTGCTCGTCGATTTCTCTCGCTCGTTTCGGCCTGCTAAGATATATATGACTCAAAGTCGATGATAAGCTAACCTTACATTACTAATCTTGCATTTTCTCCTGACTTTAACAAATTGAGAAACAACTTTTGTTTTTTCAGAAACAATTGAATTAATGCCAATTTTTGTTAGACCCACTCCTATGTAATTTGTATAAAACTACATCAATTTGGTATAACATTATTAGTAGTTTTTTTAATAATTGGAATTATGAATATATATTTATTTTTATTTACTTTTATAACTGCTAAGATATATATGACTCAATGAGTCGATGATAAGCTAACTCTTCTATTAATAAAAAAGACTAACTAC